ATCACTCAGTCACAAAGGCCCTCCACTCTGAAAGCATATGAAGGCAATGGCACATTTTCCCTTAGTCATGCACAAACAAATATGTCAAGCTACTCCTGGCATTTATTCTGCAAATAATTTCCTCCTCAGGCTTCAAAGAGAAAATTTTAGCACTGAGTACAATAAAATGTTAGCACTTCATGATCACTGATACCTTTAGTCATCATTGAAGAGATAATAATGGACTAAAGGACTTATCCAACCTAATCGCCAACTTTGAGTATATATTGCCGAAATATTAATACTATGCTCAAGTGGAACCTATCTTGGGTACTAACCTGCCTGAATAAGACACCTTTAGAACCAGTTGCAGGGGCATGTCTGGCACACCTATCATACAAGACTTGCTTACTGATGGCATTAGTGACTGCAGGCAGAATTTGAGCAGTTACCTCCAGCCTAGCATTCATCTGAAACTGTTCGTTAATCGATATCATTCAGGCAACAGGATAGAGATTAAAATCCACATTCTCTAGCTTTTATCTCCAAAATCTGTCATCCAAAGTGTCCAATTCGATCTATTATGACTTGTATCCACAGCTCAACCTTCCAGCTTCTTAAGATGTGGCTTCAACTTTGCTGCCAATATTTATACCTAATGGGAGATCACTATGCCTGCCACAGGCTGGCAGACAACATTTAGCTCCCTTTTGCTAAATGTAGTATCTGGTTGGGCGGGATTTGTGGGTTAGTAGTAGTTTTCCTAAGTTATTATGATCCAGTAAGCATTCTCAAAGAAATATATTTTGGTATGAAAAATTGGTTTCCAAGCCTTTTTTTTAAAAATTACTTTTTTATTGGTATTTTAATTTTTGGATTTGTGAAGGGGTCCTACTGTTTCTTCTTTGAATATATTGCCCTTTCACATTAACACTAGGATTATAAGCCCTACAGCCACCTAAATCCAGCTTTCCCAAAAGACCAAAAATTCCATCTTTACTGTCTATATTGTAGAGAAAAAAAAAACAACACTTGCCATTACCTCCCCTTGCTGAATACAGTTGGTGTTTGAAGCTTTCACTTTGAACTAACAATACATTGTTGATGGCCTTCCAAAATACATTGGAAATTTGTGTTAAATTTCATCCATCCATTACATATTTTGTATCAGTCTATAAGTCACTTTTCTGATCTATTTTTGAAATAAAAAAACCTGAAGAGTTTTTGACACACTCCAGTTTGACACAGTAAATTGAGTTGAGATTGAAACTGGTATGAGGGTTATTATATTGGAGATGGGAAAGTAAAATTTTATTTGTTCTTTTGTGTTTAATATCGTTTATCATAGACTGACTATACATAATGGTCAGTATATCTGGTGGAGAAAGAACCCAAGATAACATGTAAAAAACCCACCATCCCATGGAAAGCTACATGCAAGCTTTTCCACATACGTTGGCCAAACATGAGTCTCAGACACATGCAGACAGAGGTGAGATGTCGATGATAAATAAAGGTGAGTGCCTTAGCCCACTTGGCCACCTGGGACAGTAAAGTGTAGCTTAGACTTTTTTCTGTATATTTCAGGATTTATCTGGTACTGGCTTAGAGAGAGACATTTTTGGAATTGAGAGCCTTGGATCAGCTTCCTTGGATGATTTGGCAGGAATTTCTGACACTGTGCACTTAAATGCTTTCGATACTTCATACAGAACTGTAAAAAGGAGGAGAACTAACAACCATTACTCACCAGAGATAAGGGCTGAAATAGGGAAATATGCCCTTGAACATGGCAACACAAAGGCAGCCAAGAAATATAGCAAGGAGCTAAACATGTCAGTGGGGGAAAGCACTGTGCGCAGCTTTAAAAAACAATACCTTGACATTTTAAAAAGTTCAAAAGGGGAGATAAATGAATTAATGAAAGCACGTAGAGGTCGACCGTTGGTGCTTGGTGATCTGAATCAAGAGGTAGCAGATCTGATTTATCGTATTAAAGAAGCTGGAGGTGTTATCAATCAGGACATTGTAATCGAAACAGCTCAAAGAGTTGCGAAACAACATCATAATTTGGATAGTTTACACATCGCTAAAATGAACAAATCCTGGGCAACTTCATTTTTAAAAGGGTTAGGATTTGTAAATATTGGAGAAAAATCACCAGTCAAAACTGTACCCTTTCAGGAATTTGAATCTCACAGGCAAAATTTTGTTTCACTTGTTAAAGCAGTGGCTCAAGAGAAGAGAATACCAAAAGAGTTGACAATAAATTTCCATCAGGTTTCTCTAAATATGATTCCAGTATCAGATTGGACCCATGCTGCTTCAGATGCATCACAGATTACTAATAATGATAGATTTGATGGGCCATACAAAGTTTCTCTTCTGGTAGCTACTTCAGCTTCTGGCACATTTTTACCACCACAAGTAATTTATGATAATCAGGCCAAACATGAATGTTCCATTGACTTTCCTGACACCTGGGATGTCCTGAGTACAGAAAACCATCAACCAACTGAGGACAGTATGATTCAGTATATCAATAAAATCTTGATACCATACACAAAGAAAACAAAAACTGATCTGGAATTTTCAGACACAAAAAGGGCAATGGCAATATTTCATATCCATCCTCAAATATGTAGTAAAAAGGTCCAGGTAACTTTAGAGACTGCCAGAATTGATCATGTCTTTGTGCCAAACAATTTTTTGGAAGAATTACAGCCAGTCACTCTCAGTGTTGTTGCACCAGTTCAAGCAGGGCTAAAGGAGAGTTTTATGAACTGGTATTCTAATGAAGTGGCAGCTCAGCTTCTACACTCTGCCCAGGGCAGTGATGGTCAGGAAAACAAAACTGGCATGTCCATTGATCTTAGCATTCAGACACTTAAGCCTTTGCATGCAGAATGGTTGGTCAGAGTGATACAAAACCTTGAAAATGTGAAGGATTTAATACTGTCTGGATGGAGCATTTCAGGTACATTGGATGTGCTAGAGTAATGTACTGTAATGGAAATTGTAGTAAAATACATTGTACCATAGAGCTTTCTGCAGGATTTGGAGAAAAAGAAATGTCTTAGAACTGTGGTGCAGGTCAAAAGCATAATTATTAAAAATAAGAGTGTAGGACCAGAGACTTGAGGTTGATACAACCATTGTAATTATTGCAAATGTCTTGTAGCATAAATAGTTTTATCTATTACAGAAAGGTATGGAATGACATGCAGTAGGAATTTTGTAATACTGTTATAGTTTGTCTTAGTTATAGAAGGATCTTAAAATAGCATTCATAATATATGTAATTTATGCCATGCTCTACTTGCATGAAGTGGCATATTATATTATTCAACAATTTTATTTAAAAATTAAGGTATAATGAGGATAGGTGTAATGATCTGTTAATCACATAGCATTAAAAACATTGTATTCATTGATGACATTTTTCTGCATATCTTATTTTAAATAAAATTTTGCTGATCTAATATCCAACGTAATCACTACAGTTGCCATCTTGAAAATCATATTACTAAACTTAATAGAGGCAAAGTCAAATTAAAATCGGGTCTTCGCTTAAAAACTTCTTATGTTTACTTGATACTAAATACAAATAAATGGTGACAGTTTGACATCCAGTATGGCCATAATGGAAGCTTTCTTGAGAATCTTGTTATTGCTACTCTTCCAAAATGGAAAATCATATTGACAGTGGGTTTTCACTGTAAAATAAGTTATGAGAACAGGTTGGTCATAAATAAAATGGTGCTGATCTGACCTCAAACATAGCCACAGTGGCAGCCATCTTGAAAATCTTGCTGCCACTTCTTGTCAACATGAAGATTTTAGCAGAAGACCTATTATTGTGTCTAGCTAGTCCTGAATGAAAATTAAACCAATATATCATCAGATATAATCAAAGTCTTGATACTTCTGCTAGTATAGATTTTATCGTTATATCTATGAAAGTTTTTCATGGAAAGGCTTGTTATGATATCTAGATGGTCCTAAATGAAAATGATGACCTGCATACATCCAGTATGGCTGCCACAGTGAACATATTGAAATGTTGCCTCATAATTCTTATATTGCCTTTTAATTTTCACCAAAAATCTTCTCATGGTGTTAGTCTTACAGCCAATATGGCTTCCTTAGAAGCTGGTTTGAAAATCTTACTTAGGAATATCAGAAATGGTTGCAGCACTAAGCTGTTGAAAAAAAGAAATGACCTTGAATTCCTGGGAATTCTTTTTGAATAGTAGCATGTCAGCACTTTTGAGGTCATGGAGATGGTTTCAACACTCAGCAGTTACAAAGAAATGGTCTTAAATTCCTGGAAATTCTTTTTTGGAGAGTAGAGTCCCTTCAAGGAAATCTTAATATAAGTCTATCACATGGCAGAGTATATTATGTTATCATGCAAGTCTGTTTATTTGTGCACATTTGCATGGTAAATGTAGTTCAAGATTGCTAACCTTGACTAGCAGTCATGGTCAGTGAGACCCATTAGTCAATAATCTTTTAAGTAAGCCATGTCCTACTAGTGCTTATACAGGAATATTAAACGCAAGATGGACAAATAATGTGCCATTCACAGTACCATTGTTATGATATCATGAGAATTACAAATACAAATTCAGATGATAAATATTGGAGAAGAATATGAGCAGTTTCTACCCCTTACAGACCTGGCCAGTATTCTTTAAATCTGTATTCTACCAAATTTTAGGAGGAACCACAGTGGCTTTTTGGTAATTTTTCTGGAGTTGTGACTCAAAGGGTGTGGGTTCAAATCCTACCATTGTACCATCAATGGTCAGCTACTTTGGTGTGTCTTTGGGCAAGGCACTTAAATTGCTTTAGCATTAAATAACCTACTTGTGGTGCTGTACCATAAAACACCAAACCGAACCAAAATTTTAGACACAAACACTCTAGTTCAGCTTCTGACATATAAATTTATATAAAATTGTTTATAATTTCAGAATTTTAAAGTTCCTCTCAAGTGTCTCCCATATTCGATTTAGAGCTTAAATGGTCTAAGTGGTTAGAGCGTCCGTCTTGGATGCGGGAGGTCGTGGGTTTGATCCCTGGTTGAGTCATACGAAAGACTTACAAAAATGGTATTAACAGCTTCCTCGCTTGGCGCTCAGCATTAAGAGGTTAGTGTTAGGACGGTTAGTGTTAGGACTGGTCAGCCTGGTGTCAGGATAATGTGACTGGGTGGGACATCCTTCTACATGTCTGCGGCAAGATGCCCCCCAGTGCTAGACATCACTATAAACTGCCACACTGCAGACATCATAGCGATATGACTGAAAAATTGATAAAGCTACATTAAAAATCGTAATCACATCACACCAAATTTTCTTACCCCTCCTTCTCATCAGTGTTCCCAGTCCAAAAATAATGTTACCAATTTGTTGTTATTGTTGTTGTTTTGGGGCTTAATGTCATTTTTCAGCACATGATAGGCTATACATGGCAGCCAGTATTAATGGTGGAGGAAGAAACCGGGAAATCCGTGGAAAGAACCACATACCCACGAGAAGCTACTGGTAAGCTTTCTCACATATCCACATTTGCTGAATCTTAGACACAAGCAGAGGTAAGATGGCAGTGATCCATAACGGAGAGCGCTTTAGACCACTCAGGGCCCTTGTTACCAGTTTAATTTCTTTATGGGTATGTGACATTTCCTGGATGAATGTTCAACCATACAACATACCACTATGGAATTTGGTCCACTTTTAAATTAGGGAGTAGATGTGCTTTTTTTCTAATCACAATTCTTCAGTTGCAATATTTTCATGGTTTTCATCTGCTTCCTTATCAATCCATAAATTATCATCACTTTTGGACCAAAATTAAAAACTTTACAAGGTATCACTGTTTTAGACTAGTGCGTAGATGTGTCGTCTGGTATTCTCAAAAGTTTCATTATATTTAAGATTTTTATAAAACTCTGTTCGTCCATCATTCACACTTTTATTTCACAGAATTCCTGAACTGTTTAAGGTATATTTATGAATGAATACATATATGAAACTAGTGACCCAAGTGTGACTTTAGCTATTCACAATTCTTTGGTTAATTTTTTATTTTTTTAATTGGCCATTTGGCCATACTTCCATCCATGGTTTCTGGGACAATACTCAAAAATGTTAAAGATATCTCTGAGAAATTTGGTACACATTGGTCTAGTGATGTAGTGTCCCTGTTGCCATTACAATTTTCAGTTTTAGTATTTTTATTGTTTTGATCTCTCAGTTGATCCATGCACACTTTCATTTCTGTAACAAAACTTGTGATGCCTACAACTTTCCTGTAAATAAGAAATACTAATATATGAAATTTTTGACAATTCATTCTGACCCTGGCATATATTATGACAGCATAGGTAATGAAATAATTGTTTTATTTTGGACCCCAACCTTTTCCAGTATGTATTTCATTGGAATATAGCTCTCACAATGTCCATGTTTTAATTTTGCATGGCAAAACTCTGAAACCATTAAAATTATTTCAGTGAAAATTGGTACCAGAATAAACATCATTAGTACAGGACCTAAGAGTACTTCCAGTAAGGATCTTTACCTATCATACATTTCTTGCTTAAAACTCAACAGGAAACAACAAAGTGATCTACCGTGGCATAATGCGTCTGCAGATCCGGATCTATGTTGTTTGTTCTACTGATTGACCAAAATACACTGCATAGACCTAGATCTGCTAGTGCATTATACAACAGCAGATCTTGGTCTTTGCAGGGCTTGTCTTATAAGCACACACACACACACATAATATGGTACACATAACCAAGGGAATGAGGGGTATACATAAACTCAATACAACTACTGTGGCTTTAACAGTGTGGGTACTCAAGTGTGACTCATTAGCATATTGTTTATTAGCTTCAAAAGTGCTATATACATGTACACTGTTTAATGTATATCTACATAGTTGTGCTAGTAGATTAAATAAAATGTTAATTGTTACTGATGTTGCCATTGGTAAATGTATTTATTCTGTTTTCTAAAATTTAGTTTTTGTCTTGTCTGCTTTAGCATAAGCAAGGTATAGATATCACTTCTGGTGGTGGCATAAACGATCATTACAGTTTTGATTAAAATTTTTCTAGAGGGTGAGTAGGTTCAATCTCTGTGAAGGATGACTATAATACAAGGAGATGCAGAAAACTGACCATTTATATTCATTGGTTCTTTCTGACCCTCTCTGTGGTTACATGAACTCATTTGCCCCTGGAATTCCTTTCCACTTTAGACTGGAATGGGCAAGAAACATTTATTGGGTGGGTGGTTACTTCAGACTGCATCCAAACACATCTGTTTCACCGAGATCATCATTTTTGCTGGATGCTTAAATGTATAAAAGTTAATTTCCAATGTCTATTTTGCTCATATTGGAGCCAAAGAGGGAAAATTGGACTTTTTGTTTTGCATATTGTGCACATAATTTTTGTGTCCTGCCCATTTTTACTAGAAATCTCAATCTTATCTTACTGTTTGCAAAAATTCATCGGTCTGTACAGTTGGATAGGTCCGTTTTTAATCTAATGGCAGAAAGTCTAAAATCTTGGAACAAACTCTGGCTCCCAACAGATATGTAGCAGTAAAAAAAAATCTGGTTTAAAAAAGTTTTTCCTAATGTATTTTGTATGCAAGCAGAATGTCTACATTAATTGGCATCATTATAAAGCTACATCTTTCCCATTTTGTATAGTACCACCCTCTTTCATGTCTCATGACTTTGATGCCACAGAGCTCAGAACTAGGTTACTACCTCAGCATGCCAAAATATGGCACACAGGGACAGTCAGTTAACAATTTGAGGCTTCCAACTTACTGAATCTGCTAATACAGTGTTCACTGGTATACAGTGTCTAAAGCTTAAATCACAGAGTCAAAAAAATCAAAGTACAATGGGCATCTTGGGATCAGAACTCCTAAAGTTGCATTATAGTCACTTTTTTATTACTACGAATATAGGATATAAAGCAATGGAAAATGATAAAAAGGGCGATGTGAAGAATAGGAAAAGCTACAAGAGTATAAAATGCTCTGATTTTATTTATTACAGGAATTCTGTTTTAGGGTTTAGTATATATTCAGTTTCAGTTGATAAAAATTTTGTAATGTATGGTTTGTAGCAATGACAAAATCTACAAAAGGGTGGATTGTTGTTGTGCTATACGCCATTTTTCAGCAAATGATAGGCTATTCAAGGCGGCCAGTATTAATGGTGGAGGAAGAAACTGGGAAATCACCGGAAAGAACCACCGACCCACGAGAAGCTACTGGCAAGCTTTCTCACATATCCACATTCACTGAATCCTAGACTCGAACCCATGCAGACAGAGGTGAGATGGCAGTGATCCGTAACAAACAGCGCTTTAGACCACTCAGCCATTGCACACTAAAATCTCTTTGATATACAGGTGGAGTAAAGCCTGAGCTACATTGATTTATGGCAATAGACATGTAAGAAAACACTTGTGAATGACATGTATATATGGTAGTTCACAATGATGCTAGAAACACCTTGATCACAGCTAGTCTACAGCTGGAGAGCTGTATGAAGACAGACTTTGATTCCTGGTTTACCTCCCTTACCCAGGTCATTTATATTGCACAAAGTAGGCCATGGTACCTTGTCTCTCATGGAACACTCTACGTTTCATGAAGATTTGATGCATAAAGCTGCAAGAACCAGGAGGAAAACCAAGCTTTTACACTACAATATTATCCAGACTAAGGATGATGCTAATAATGATAATGGTGAAGACTGGACTGCATAGGCTATCCTGTGAGGCGAGGTAAAAAGTATCCCACTTAACGGAATTTGACCACATCTTATTTAATTTTAGCTCATCTGATTAAAACCGGCCACCATTTTACTTTTACCTAGAACAAACACCATGATAATGTGGGTTTGCATACAACATACCCAGTATTGTAACAGCCTTGCTTTTTAAGTACCAGAGTATAATATGGCCTCATTTATACCGTAGTATACTTTTATTCTTTCTGTGGAGCTACACCAAAAACCATGGATCACTACTGATTACAATAATGAAGTCAAGTCAAGTGATATTTAGCATCAATTTTAGGATCTTTTACAGATCACAAGAATGATACAAGTTAGAGATGACAGCTAGTTCTTGAGAACCAACTCCACAGTATCTTTTGGATGTATGCATTCCACATGAAAATGTACTAATCTACTACTATTTTGTAAATACTACATTTCAGATATTAGTTCTTGCTTTTGGATTGTATGTTGGCCATTTGTGGACTGCACGCAGTAAAATATGTCAAAACGACTTTATTGATATTATAATAGTTTCCTCACTGGTTGCACGCAGATTATTGAAAAATTAACACAAATAAACAAATAATATATGTGAAACAGATGAGAACAAATGGAAACAAATACCTATAAATATGAAATGTTTTTATATGGATTATACTTGACATGTCAGTACTCTCTGAATACAACTCGACAACCTCACATCTGGCCAAGTTTCATAAATTTACAATGTACAAAGCAGCTCAAAAGGCAGCAAGCTAATAATGATAGTAGTTCTGATAGAGCTGACTAGAATCAGTTGTATAATGACCTACATTAGTTTGATCGTATGTATGTTGATTGGTAATTGGCACTGATGAGATTGTCACAGATGCAACTTCTGCTGACTGGCCATTCTGGGAATCGTGTTGAAGAGTGGAAAGAACTGAACCAGAGACAGAGGTCAAGCTGCCTTGCTGGCTACCTAAGAGATAGGAATTAGAACTGGCAGACACTGCAGTCTGAAAGTGAAGGGGAACAGCGCCTGTTCCTGTAGAGTCTGCAGCTGATGGGACACTTACTAGTTTGAGGGAGGTTTTTGTTTGACCAGGATTGGCTATTCCAGGATTAATTGACTGAAGAGGGGATTCTGTTGCTCTGCCTTGAAGGGCTTCTTGAAGCATGCTCCTGTGTCCTGAACGGAAATTGGTCTGAGACTGAACTAGTAATAATTGGTCCCTTTCTTGAGGATGGGAGTTTACAACCATCCCATTAGGATCTGGAAGTACACCTT